TACCAGTTATGGCAAATTGTTTTTCATCTTAGTATCTAGTGATGTTTTTTACTAAATGGAGACATGAAGCCTTGATATCCACAGATAAATGTAATATTTTCCTTAAGCTGAGACTGTAAAGGTTTCAAAGGTTAAGCTTTTCTCCAAAGGATTAACTAAAAATAGCTTGGCTACTTCCCGGTTCTTTTTTCTATAGACAAAAGGACTTCCTCCCTAAACCTTTCCCAGGTGCAGGCTATTCAGCCAGGTTCTTGAAAACCTGGCTCAGGAAGCCAAAACAGCGGGACTCCTCCCAAGCCTTTTGACCTTCCCTTTCACCTTCCCCCAACTGAGCTCAGGGGCTATAGATATGTTAATTGGGCCTGAGAAACCAAGTTGCAGGCCTGGAATTCGAACCAGTGAAGTACGATGTAAAGTTGCCTGAATGTCTGGAGAATTACGTATGCTAGCTGTACCTTGTCTTAGTCCCTCCCAGCTTGGTGTAAAGCTCATCCCCTAAATAAAACGGAGACGCAGGCCGGCCCAGGTGTGCATTACAGGCAGGCGGTGAAAGTGTGCACTACGGCTAGCAGGCCGTGCATTATGGCTTGCAGGCCGTGCATTACAGGCAGGCGGTGAAAGTGTGCATTACAGCTGGCAAGGCATGCATTACGGGCATAGCTAAGATGTTTACCTTACAGGACCTGACTGCCCTCATGGCTAATATGTTCACCACTCCTGATCTGCCTGATGCCAGTAATGTATCCATTCTGGTTTCAGGGTGTCTCTTTGTCTCCCTCTTTGTGTCTTTCTTTGTATTATTTTGTTATCCCTATCGCCGCCAGATATCCCCTCCTCATGAACCAAACACTCGTGTCGAGGCCGGTCCCCCACAGTTGGTGTTGTTAGGTGCTATTGAGCTGGTTCTAACTCATCGCAACCTTATGTATAACAGAGCAAAACATTGCTCAGTCCTGAGCCATCCTCACAGTTGTTGTTACATTTGAGCCCATTGCTGCTGCCACTGTGCCATTCCTTTTCCTTGGGCGCCTTCCTCTTTTTCATTGACCCTCCACTTTACCAAGCATAATGTCCTTCTTCAGGGACTGGTCCCTCCTGATAACATGTCTGAAATATGAGAAACAATGTCTGGCCATACTGGCTTCCATGGAACATTCTGGCTTTACTTCCTCCAACAGATTTATTTGTTCTTTTGGCAGTCAATGGTATACTTTTAATATTCTCCTCTAAAATCATAAATTCATCAATTCTTTTACAGGAATGTTGGGTAGAAGTGTTCCAGCCTGCCATGCAGTCTAAGGAAGGTTGAACAAAGCCACTGGGGAGTCTTTGATCCAAAGCTGGTTGTCAAAGATGTCCCATGTATCCCATGACCTGTTGTAGCATACCTGCCATATTCAGTCTGGGAGTAGTCCATGAGATGCATGGCCCAGTCACAAACACCCAAGTAGATTTCAGAGTACAGTGGCTTACACCATTGACCAGTTGCACACCTCGTACTTGGAGATCACATAGGTACACTCTCAAGGGCACTATTGAAAAGCATATAGCTATACGATCAGATTTGTATCTGCAAAAGAATATTCCACTGCAGTGAGATAATGATAATTCAATGACAGATAATGATGACCTAGACTAGGATTGTATCAATGATACTGAAGATTTGTAGAAAGGATCATTAAAGAAAACAGTGAACTGGACTTGTTAATTGACTAGAAGAGGTAAGGGTAAAGGAGAAATCAAGGGGAGGCCCTCTGCTATCAGTTGTGTTGTGCATGGATATTGGTGCTATTCATTGAGAGGAACTGAAAAGATTGTTGTTGTTGTTGTTATGTGCCATCGAGTTGATACAGACTGAGAGTGAACCTATGTACGAAAGAACAAGATATTCCCCAGTCCTGTGCCAACCTCACAATCGTTGCTACATTTGCGCCCATTGCTGCTGCCACTGTGTCAATCCATCTCATTGGGAGTCGTCTTCTTTTTTGCCTACCCTTTACTTTGCCAAGCATGGTATCCTTTTCCAGGGACTGGTCCCTCCTGACAACATGTCTGAAGTCTAAGAGATAAAGTCTTACCATCCTGGTTTCTAAGGAGCATTCTGGCTATACTTTTTCCTACACAAATTTGTTTGTTCTTCTGGATGTCCATAATACTTTCAATATTTTTTTCCAACACCTTGACTTAAATGCATCAATTCTACTATGGTCTGAAACATTCATTGTCCAGTTTTCATATGCATTTGTTGGTTGCTTATCCTTCATTTTCAACTGTTAATTTCTTAGACATTTTATATATTGATAATCTACTGAAAAAACCAGTATCTGATTTTCTGGGTGTTTAAATCCACTGCTTTATAGATATTCCTGTACAATGTCATTCATGGTATCTTGTTTCTTTGTGAGTTTGTTGTTTCTGTTTTTGTCGCTATAGTAAACTTTTAGGATGAGGTGAATTATTTTCATCCATAATTTCTGCCTAGAACTACAAGGGGGCTTCAAAAATCTTTTTAATGGAATAGAGAGAAAATAGAATTTTTCTATGAATTTTTGAAGACCCACATATTCCAAACTGATTTTGAAGGCCAGTTCTGACTCTTGATAATTTATTTTATCGTAATTGATAGGAATCCTGTGGGCCTAAATTGGAGGCCCTGTCTTCCTGAGAGGATGTTTCTTCTACAAGAACTATTTTCCAGGCAGCATATCAATCTGAGATGACTTTTAACTCTTTTTAAGGATTCTAGCTTAGTGTAGAAATATAAGATTCAGCATTTTCTTCCTTCTGCCACCTTATTTATATTGCCCCTGTCTGAGGCAGTCATTGTGGTCAGGAGCATGTTCTATGTTAATTGCTTAGGCTAGGTCTTGTCATCACTTGTGTTCAAAAGTATGAGGGGAGCATCAGAAAATTTGTGGGGGGAAAATGGAATTTTTCTGTAAAATATATAAACATTATCTGATTCATAAGGAAGGTGGGATGGAGCGCTGCTAGAGTGGATAATTTCACCCAAGAATACTAGTACCAAAAGAATAGAAAATTAATATTGGGTAGGAAAATAGCAGATGTCCACCTCAGAGGATGATCTGAATGTAACAGTAGAAGAGAATTTTTTTATATAAGCTTTATTTAGAATGGAAGGAATTTTAAATAAATATATATCACTATTTCAGAGTTCTAAGAAATTAAACATGCCATTGCTGAAAGATACAGATGTTCTTTATTCAAAGGAGGGTCTACTTTATGGAAAATTTTCAAAATTAACAGAATGGGGAAATCAGGGCATTCTAGTATTTGACCCAAAATTGTATTTTAAATCAGTAAATCATACAAACTTTCTCTCCTACTGTGGAGTGCTTGAGTTTCAACTCTACCATTGCTTGTTCTCTAACCATAAGCAGTTTTCTAGACTCTCCGAATTTTTCTCATTCATAAAACAGGGAAAATAGAATCTGCTTTGCCTAGTTCTTAATGAGTATTAAATGAACAAATACTTTAAAACTAACTTGTATCCTGCTTTTATTAATGCTTGCTATTATTATTATCTACAAAATGTGGATATTGAGACTTTTTACTTTGCTTTCAAAATAAAGCATCTTGCAAATATAGCATCTAAGGAAAGCATACTATCTCTGCCTTTTAAAATTATTTTTCAGATTCCTTCAAATACACCAGAAATGTGTTGTATTATTAGGGCATCACCAGGAACTAGAAAAGCGAAAATTAAAGCTGTTACTGTAAAGAAGAAATACTCCCCTTGTAAAGATATTCCCCAAGGTAATGTAGTATAAATGAGGAACCGATTATTTTAGTAATGTAAAACATTTTTTTCTTTATGAACTATTTTTGTATACTCAGACTTCAATTATAAAATGAATTCTTAGTGTTCTTGCACAAAGTGGAAATGATAATATTATAAAAAGCCTGGTTAGATTTCAGATCCTGAATAAAAAAATTTTTGAAAGATAAATATTCATCTTTTGGGATACTGGCTTATACTATTGATTTGAAATGAGTAGTCTTAAATGTTGTTGTTGTTAAAGTGCCATCAAATCAGTTCCTACTCATAGCTATCTGGTGTGCTTCAACTGCGGACTTTGTGATTAACAGTCTAATGCTGAGGATATGTGTGTGTGTGTGTGTGTGTGTGTGTGTGAAAGTGTGTGTACAAGTAAGTCCAACTACATTGAAAAACTGTTGGGAATCTTTATCAAAACAAAGCATGTGCATACCTGAAGACCCAGCCGTTCCACTTCCAGGAATATACCTATCTGAAATACGTACATATGTTCATGTCAGTACTATTTGCAATAGACCCAAACTAAAAACTATCCAAATTTCCATAAATTATAAAATGAATAAATAATGATACTTGTTTATTAGAATACTAACTACCAATGATAATCAACAATATATAATTTCACACAACAATATTGATGAATCTTACAAACTTAGGGAGTTGGAATTTATAGTGTACATTTAGTATTATTTCCATGTTTTTTTAAATTTTTTATTGTGAATTGAGTGAAAGTTTACAGGGCAGACCATAAATTTTACATTCAACAAATCATATACTTTGTTTCATTACAATGATTAGAATCCCCTTCATGTGCCGTCAGTTAACAGTATTTCTCTCTATTCATTTTAGCTTTTTTTTTTTTTTTTTTAAACATTCAGGCATATATAATAATCTACACCACCAAAGGGCACATTCTTCAAGTCTGCCTCCTGGCCACCAGCTCTCAGTCCCTCTCTTTCCATGAATCTAGAGTCCTCAGCTCCTCCCTTGCTCCATGTCCCCATCTCTGCCTACATCTCTAGTGTTGCTGTTTCTCTGGATAAGGTCCCGCATTCCACTTGTGCTCTTCTCCCTTGATGGCCCTAGGGTCCTCTGTTTCTGGACTGTAAGATTAACTACTCCCCTGTTTTTGTTATGAAATTTCTACGTTTACAATTGTGACAGTCACAATTAGTCATAATAACAATTACTCATTATTGAATCATAAAAATCTTATCCCCATCTCTTTTTACTAGACCCATCTAGACAAGATGAAAACTATTCAGTGGGGACTCTATCTTCCCCCCCACACACTCTTAAACTAAACTCCCTCTTGAAACCTTGTAAGCTAGTCACTTCCTGCCTTTATCACCCCTTATTTTATGTAGCCAATATCTACCCTGTATACAGAGGTATATACTTGATGCGAAGACTCCTTCCCTCTCTTGGTATTTTGAGCTACTACCTCCATGAATATAGATCAAGTTCATCAAATTGTAGCAACTTACCCTCATTTCCTTTATCAAAAATTGTTTTCTTTTTTATCTTCCTCTAGTTGAGTTCTGATTATCAAGCCATTGAGGCTGTTAAATGGGTACTGTCTGTAAGTTTGGGTGTTCTTGTACATCTCCCTTCACTTTATATCAGTGGGATGCTTCACTCTCAACTCTAGCCCTCTGGGGCTATGTCCTTGTCCATGGACTCAGGTGTCCTCAGGTCTCACCACACTTTGGATCAACCAGAGCTGCATCTTCTCTCTCTCATCTCCAGGTCAAACGGAGTCTATGGAACTGATTAAATTTAGCCCATTTCTTCATTGCTACCTTTCTCCCTCTTCCACTCACCAATAGATCAGTGTGGTTGCCAGCAAGCTTGCCTGTCTGTTCATGTGTTCACTTTGAGTTTCAGTCTTAGAGGGGGGTTTTTCCTGAAGGGACTTGATTGCTTGCCTTGATGGTTTCCCGGCCAACAACTTGCTTATTCTTGTAGTAACCAATCATACTGCCATTTTTGTTTTGTTTTTTTCCTGATGATCTTTCTTTGAAGATGTATCTTCTGTCACTCTAGCTGTTCCTAGCAGGTCTGCTTTTCCTTTCTAGTGGGAATGTCCCACCTCAGAAGGTTGGGATGGGGCTCAGGATTCCATCTAGAGTCCTGTAAAGGCTTTGCATGAGGCCTATTTCACTGGGCAAGTTGTAGAACCCCTTTTATGTATTCCAATCAGTTATAGGCTAAAGATGGGCTTACAAGCTTTCTGTAATGTTGTTTACCAACATTCGTTTCTATCCCACTCAAGTGTCTGTTTTACAATAGTAGCTCTGGTAGCATAGTAGTTATGAATTGGGCTGCTAACCTCAAGGTCAGCAGTTCGAAACTACCAGCTGTTCTTCAGAAGAAAGATGAGGCTTTCTGCTCCTGTAAAGATTTGCAGCCTCGGAAACCCTGTGCAGGGTCACTATGAGTCAGAACCAACTCCTCAGTACTTAACAACAACAACAGGTAAGGGAAACCAATATTCATAAGACATTCAGGCATCTTAGTATTATATCCCCTCTTCAGACTAAGCCTCAATCCCTGTATCACATAGCCCTGTTGTTCCAAGTTTGAGCATGCATCACTATTTACCTCTGTCCCATTTAGCCCATGCAAATCTGTCTCAGTGTTCCCCCTATCTACCTTGTTCTTCCACCCCCTCCCCTTGCTTGTGTATTGCCCTCCCCCACACCCAAACTATGATGTGTCTGCCCCCTACCCTGTGCTCTATTGTTGCCTCCCTCCACCTCCCCCATATCTGCCACACCACCCCCACCAGTAACCAACAAAAAAAAAAATTTTTTTTTTCCCTTTCGGTATGGGAATCTTTTCTTAAGCTTTGACAATAATGGTCTTATGTAATATTTGTCCTTTTGTGATTTATTTCACTAAGCATAATGTCCTCAACGTTCACTCATGTTATGTGGTGTCTTATAGCTTCCATGTTATTCTTCAAGGTAGCATAATATTCCTTTGTGTGTATGTACCACAGTTTGTTTCTGCATTCTTCCATTGATGGGGACTTAGGCTGCCTCCATCTTTTTGCTATTGTGAATAGTGCTCCTATGAACATTGGTGTGCATAAATCTGCTCGTGTTATGGTTCATATTTCTTGTGAATATATACCAAGTAGAGGAATTGCTAGATCATATGGTATTTCTATTTCCAACTTTCTGAGGAAGCGCCATACTGTTGTCCAGAGTGGTTGGACCATTTTGCAATCCCACCAGCAATGTAGGAGGGTCTTAGTTGCTCCAAATCCATACCAGGATTTATTGTCCTCTGCATTTTTGAACTTTGCTGTTATTGCTGATGTGAGATAATATCTCATTGTTGTTTGGATTTGCATCTCTCATTATGGGTCAGAACCAACTCGAGGGCATTTCACAACAACAACAATGGCTAATGATCATGAACATTTCTTCATGTGTTTGCGGCTGCCCGAATCTCCTCCTTGGTGAAGTGTCTCTTCATATCCTGTGCCCATTTTTAATTGGGTTACTTGTCTTTTTCTTGTAGAGATGTTGTAGTTTTCTGTAGATTTTAGAAATGAGTCCCTTATCTGATGTGTCATTGCAAAAGATTTTCCCCCATTCTGTGGGCTCCCATTTTACTCTTTTGGTGAAATTGATGCACATAAGTTTTAATTTTTAGAATGTCCCAATCATCTATTTTGTCTTCTTTTGTTTGTTTAATTTTCTGAATGTTTTGTAGTCTGTGCCTTGTATTGTTGTTGTTGTTGTTATGTGCTGTGGAGTCAGTTCCAACTCATAGTGACCCTGTACAGGGTTTCCGAGGCTGTAAATCTTTACGGTAGCAGAAAGCCTCATCTTTCTCCCACTGAACAGCTGGTAGTTTCGAACTGCTGACTTGTATTAGAGCCCTTAAATTTGTCCCTGTTGTTCCATTGATGACCTTTATAATTCAGGGATTCACATTTAGGTATTTAATCCATGCTGAGTTGGTTTTTGTATATGGCATGAGGTGAAGGTCTTGTTTCAGTCTTTTGCATATCACTTTCCAGTTCTACCAACACCATCTGTTGAAGAGACTATGTCTTCCCCATTCAGTGTACTTTGGCCTTTACAAAGATCAGTTGGCTGTATATGGATGGGTTAATTTCTGGATTCTCAATTCTGTTGCATTTATCTATGTATTTTTCATTGTACTAGTACCAGGGTATTTTGACCACTGTAGCAATGTAGTAAAAATTAAAATCAGGGAGTGAGAGGCCTCCAAGTTTGTTCTTCTTCTTAAGCAGTGCTTTGCTTATCCTGAATGTTTATTTCCATATATTTTATAACTAGGCAACTAGTTATTGTTTACATGAAGTATGAAGCCAGATACAAAACTGATGAAAATTAAAATAATGGATGCCCTTGCAAGTTTGAGAATATTAATTGGGAAATGGTTAATGGTAATATTGTGTTTCATTATTTAGGTGTTGATTTTATAAATGTGTTAGGATTGTAAAAACTTATACTTTAGGATCATGATGTGGCATTGTAGAATAAGCACTGGACTGCTAACTTTAAGGTTGGCAGTTCAAACCCACCAGCCACTCTTCAGAAACCTTGCACAAGGTCGCTTTGAATCAGAATTGGCTTGATGGTGCTTATTAACAACATATTATACTTAAATAGAAAGTTGAAAAATAAAAATAAATGGAGAAACCTCTCTTAATTTGACCTTTTGGGCCTGTCTTGTCTGCTTTAAGTATTGTAGAAATTCTGGTCTTAAGTATGCAACAATTTAAACCAAAGTGTATCTGGGAGGTCCTTTTGAGCATGTTGATATAAGTGCAACTAAGACCAAATTTTTTACTTTAATTCATAGCTTAATTACTTTAATTGATGCATGTTGAACCAATGGTGCTACCGCTTGGCTTCCTCTAAGTTCTCGCCATAACAGCACTGGCCTCATCTAAGTCATTCTCTTTTAACCTTTGGATACTTATCTTTGCTTTTCCTTTAATAAAAATAGCAAAGCCCCAGGCTAACTAGTAAGCGTGTTATTTTAAACATGCTACAGCCTATTTTTAGTTATGGCATTTACAGTTTTAGCTAGTTTGGCAGTAATCTAATCAGGACTACAGGGTGAAGCTTACTTTCAATAGTGTAAGACCCTGTTTAATATGCCGCTTGTTCATGAACAGTTGGCATTATGCTAGTTAAAGAGAAAAAAGTTGGTGGAAATGAACCACTAGAAGAGTACAACAGAGATGTGTGATAAAGGAAGTACAATGAGAAAGTAGAGGTCAGAGATTTGTGACAGCCAAATAGAAGAGGTCTAAGGTCTTTCACTTTATGATCCTGGGACCACTTGCATCAGAATCATTTCAGACCTGGTAAATTTCAATATCTAGAGAAATAACACGAGAGTCTGCAAGTTGATGAGCTTTCAAAGAAATGCCAGTGAACACTAACATTTGAAAACCATAGCATTATATTTTGTTCTTTTATCGATAACGAAAATGACCAGGCTAGATTGATAAGTGACTTGTCTGAGGTCACAAAGTTAATTACTGGCAGAATCAGAGCTAGAACCCAGATTTATTGGCTAATGGTTTGACTGGGTAGCTGTCAAACAGGGAGTGGGGAGTTGAGAAGGTGGAGCTCTCAGTTTCACAGCTCATCCAAACAAAGCAGTTCTGCTTCTGTCTGCTTTATAAATGGGACATTTGTATTCTATTTTATCTAAACAAGCATTTTTACAAAAAGGGTTAAACTATCATTGTTTTATACTTTCGTACAGTTACAACAATAAAAAATGAACTTGGTAAATTAATTTAACCAACAAATATGCATTGTTATTGTTGTTAAGTACTGTCGAGTTGGTTCCAACCTGTATAGGATTTCATAGCCAACCTGTATAGGATTTCCGAGGAGTGGCTGGGAGTTTGAATCACCAACCCTGCAATTCAAACCAACATTATGGTCTAGTGCTTTATCCTGCAGTGCCACACCAGGACTAGGTATGAGCTAGTGATATGAGTGCAACCTTCGTTCTCAAAGGATTTACAGTTCTTATGCTAAGATAGATCTCACAATTTTCTCTACAAGGTAATAAACTAGAAGAGATCTCACAATTTTCTCTATAAGGTAATAAACTAGAGGCAAATAGAGTAGCCCAGGGGAGAAAGACACTTTTAAATTTGGTGAGAGGTGTTAGGAAAGACATCCAAGCTAATATACCTTTTGAAAAACCAGACAAAAACGGAAGTATTTCTTAGAAAAATATTTTAAGATTTCTATTTTATTTTTTAGTTCTAGGAGAGATGATAAATGTTGTATAACAAATTAATATCTCAAATTAATAGAATAATAGCCTTTAGCTGGATACATGTATATCTTCAGTGAGACATTTAAGCTTTTAGATAATAACAGACAGAAGTATTACACAGAAGTATAACAAATGATGTAGAAATGGACTCAAGTTTATAAGAAGTGACTTAAGATTAGGATATCCCTAAATTCAAATTCTGGCTCTGTCACATGGGCAAATTACTAAAATTCTCTTAATTTTATTCTACTTATCTGTAAAATTTTGGAGTCCTGGTGTGGCGCTGTAGGATTAGTACTGGACTGCTAAATGCAAAGTCAGTCACTAGCAGTTCCTCAAAAACTATATACAGGGTTGTAATGAACCAACTCCATGGCACTAAACAACAACCAGAACCAACTCCATGGCACTAAACAACAACATCCTGTAAAATTGGCGTAGTTGTTCGTATCTCAAAGAATTGTTGCAAGGATTAGAGAATAGACATATAATAATCACTCATTATGGAGTGACGCTGCAGGATAATGTACTAGACTGCAAGATCGGTTTGAACTCTAAGCTTAGCAGTTTAAACCCACCAACTACTCCTCGAAAACTCTATATAGTTACTGTCCTCATGAAGCTTATCTCACTGAGAAAGTCATACAAGTCCAATGTAGGTATATAAGTATGTGTTTTAATGGAGTTATCTATATTTGGGATTAAGTAAGGGTACATGATAAATCCTTTGGAGGGTGAGCTGAGTCCCTTGGGGGCAGAGTTGTTTTGGTAGTAAGTGTCATTGTGTCATTCTGACCTGTATAGGGTTTCCAAGGAACAGCTGATGGATGGTTAGCAATCTAGTGCTTATCCTACAGTGCCACACCATACTTATTCAATGTGTATGCTGAGCACATAATCCGAGAAGCTGGGTTATATGAAGAAAAACATGGCATCAAGATTGGAGGAAGACTCATTAACAGCCTGTGATATGCAAATGATACAACCTTGCTTGCTGAAAGTGAAGAGGATTTAAAAGAGTTACTGATGAAAATCAAAAAGCACAGCCTTTGGTATGGGTTACACTTCAATGTAAAGAAGACAGAAATCCTTACCACTGGACCAATAAACAACATCAGTATAAATGGAGAAAAAATGAATTTGTCAAAGACTTCATTTTGCTCGGATCAACAGTCAGCACGCATGGAAGCAGCAGTCAAGAAATCGAACAATGTATTGCATTAGGAAAATCTACTGTACAAGACCTCTTTAAAATGTTCAAGAGAAAAGATGTCAATTTGAAAACTTTAAAGGTGCACCTGACCCAAGCCATTATATTTTCAGTAACCTCATATGCATGTGAAAGTTGGACAGTGAATTAGGAAGACTGTAGAAGAATTGATGCATTTGAATTATAGTGTTAGAGGAGATTATTTAAGTACCATGGAACTGCCAAAAGAACAGATTTGTGTTAGAAGTACAGCCAGAATCCTCCTTGGAAGCCAGGATAGCCAGACTTCGTCTCTCATACTTTGGATATATTGTCAGCAAGGACCAGTCTCTAGAGAAGGATATCATGTTTGTTAGAGTGGAGGGTTGGAGAACAAAAGGAAGACCCCCCAACTGGATGTATTGGCACCATGGCAGCAGCAGTGGGCTCAAACATAACAACGATTTTGAGGTTGGCGCCGGACCGGGCAGTATTTCATTTGTTGTGCATAGGGTTGCTATGAATCGGTACCAATTTGATGGTACCTAACAACAACTGGCCAGATTTGCTTTTTATTTACATCATTTTGACATGAAGTATGGAGGTGTGTTGGAACGTAGTAAGACTAGAAGCAGAAAGACCAATTGAGAGTTTCTAAAAAGTCCTGACCAAAAAATAAGGATCTGAGCCTGTGTATCTCAAATCATGGTGTTTACGATTTTTAATAATAGTGGAAATTCCTAGGTCATGACCTCAGCGACCCAATTAATGGACTTTGGAAGTTGAGAACCTGTTGAAAACTGAACCATGATTTTTTTCATTAGTTAGTATTGACTGGGCTGGGTACTGATACAAGGTAGTGATAGAGAAGGAAGATTAGAGGATGACTTCTAGATTTCTATTATTGTAAAGTTTTAGAAATGATGTGATATCAGGGGAAGATGTAAGCATGACCCTGGAAATGTATGTGAAAGTGATAGATGGGTACATCTAGATAATTGGGTGTGTTAATTTGTTAAAAAATTTGACACCTGGTTCATAGTTGTTTTCTCCACTCCAACTGCTGGAAACTTCCCAGCAATTGCAGGTGGAGATGATGACTGTGAACCAGGTGACAAAATATTTAATAAGTGACAAGGTAGTATCTCAGATTAGTAAAGACAGCACCAAGGAAGAGTAGAGGGTAGTATGGTTTCCCAAACATTAATGTGCTTATGAATTGCTTAAGGATCTTATTACAATGCAGATTTTTGATTCAGTAAGTCTGTAATGGACCCTTAAATTCTACATTTTTAACAAGTTACTATGTGGTATTGGAGCTACTGGCCCATGGACTACACTTTGTGTAGCTAAGATATAGGTTTCTGGTTCTCCAATTTTTATTGGACTTTCCCTGATATTTGGGTTCCTTGCCCAGAGATTCTGACCTAATTGGTATAGAGTATGGCCTGGATATTGGGATTTTGAAAGTTCCCCAGGAAATTCTAATGTGAAAGGTTGATTAGGCCAAGTGGTGAGGTATTTCATATTATGAAAATGGCAGTGGAAAGCTGGCTTTTCTGGATCTCCTGGTATAAGATATTTGGGAATAGCCTGGGCTCATTGGGACAAAGAGGAGGAAAATGCAAAGGAAAGCTGGGCAAGAGAATGTCAGAGGCTTTTGCATGGGTGGGCATGCAAAATGACAGGTGTGAGAAGCCCAACTGGATTGATTCCTCCAGATTATGAGGCTGGGGTTAGAGATCCCATGATGGCACTGTCTTTTCCGTGGAATGTTATTGAACAGGTCTCCTTGTATTTACAGAGAAATATCCTCTCCTCGGCTCATTCCCTTTTCTATGATCTCAATATTTATTTTGTAAGGACTTATGGAGTGAAACTAGAGGGGCCTGGCATCAAGAGCCTCCAAGGACTTATTACTTAGGACTGGTAATTAATAAGTACTGGACATCTCTTGTGATGTGTATGAAGGTAATCTGTTGTTATATTTTTTTCTTTCCAGATATAATAATAAGTACAAATGGCAGAGTATAGATGCTGCGGCTGAATTTTCACTCCTTTGAAGATATGCCATGAATTAGAAGTCTGTGAAGCAGTATGTCTGCCTTAAATTATATAAAATTAAATTTTTTTCATTCTCCATTTATTTGTAATATATCACTTTGTTGAAATTGTTGTGGGTCTTGTCATTTACTTTTAATCAGTTAAGAAAGGGATATACTTTTGTATACTTTTCATGTATATATGTATGTATAGATACCAAAACCATACCCAATGCCTTTGAGTCAATTCTGACTCATAACGATCCTATATAGGATTTCCGAGGCTGTAAAATGATAAAGAAGAGGGAGTAGAGCAGAAAACCTCATCTTTTTCCCATGGAGAAGCTGGTAAGTGTGAACCCTCAACTTTGAGATTAGTAGTCCAATGTTTATCCTACAGTGTGGGACTATAAGATAAGCACTGGAGCCCTTTCTCCTGGCCAGCAGCGCGGAGGCCACATGATGCCTGGAGTTACTGTAAAAGACGTGAACCAGCAGGAGTTCATCAGAGCCCTGGCAGCCTTCCTCAAAAAGCCTGGGAAGCTAAAAGTCCCTGAATGGGTAGACACTGTCGAGCTGGCCAAGCATAAAGAACTTGCTCTCTATGATGAGAACTGGTTCTACACATGAGCTGCTTTCACAGCACAGCACCTGTACCATAGGAGTGGTGCTGGATTCAGCTCCATGACCAAGATTTCTGGAGGGTGGCAGAGAAA